TTATCTCTTATGGCCTGGGCACTTCGGTTTTGCCCAGGAATTGGATGCCAATTCACTTCCATAAGGGTGTGTCCTGCATTTTCTAAAGTTCTTATGGTTTGAGGTTTTACATTTAGGTCTCTGATCCATTTAGAGTTAATTTTTGTGTATGGGGATAGATAGGGGTCTTGTTTGAATCTTCCACATGTAGTCAGCCAGTTTTCCCAGCACCATTTACTGAATAGATTGTCCTCTCCCCAGTGGTTGTTGTTGGAGGCTTTGTCAAAGATGAGTATTTGAGAAATTGAGGTTTTGCTTCTGGAATCTCAATTCTATTCCATTGGCCTATATGCTTGTTCTTTTACCAATACTAAGCTCTTTTGATTATTGTTGCTTTAAAGTAAAGTTTAAAGTCTGGAAGTGTGATACTTCCTGCTTTGTTTTTTTTGCTGGGGATTGTTCTGGCTATTCTTGGTCATTTGTGTTTCCATATGAATTCCTGTAGTTTTTTCTAGATCTGAGAAGAATGTTGCTGGCAATTTGATGGGTATGGCATTAAATCTGTAGATTACCTTAGGTAAGATGGACATCTTCACAATGTTGATTCTTCCAATCCATGAGCATGGAATATTTTTCCACTTGTTTGTGTCATCTTTGATTTATTTGAGCAGTGTTTTGTAGTTTTCATTGTAAAGGTCTTTCACATCTCTGGTTAGGAAGATACCAAGGTATTTCATTTTTTGTGTGTGGCTATTGTGAATGGGGTGGTGCTTTTTATTTGGGTTTCTGTTTGTTTATTATTAGTGTAAAGAAATGCAATTGTCTTTTGAACAGTTATTTTATACACTGAGACTTTGCCAAAGTCCTTTATCAGTGCAAGGAGGTTTTTCACAGAATCTCTAGGGTTTTCAAGGTACACAATCATGTTGTTTGCAAAGAGATAACTTGACTTCCTCTTTTCCTATTTGGATACCCCTGATCACCTTCTCTTTTCTAATTGCTCTATCCAGGACTTCCAATGCTATATTGAACAAGGGGTGAGAGTGGGCATCCTTATCTTGTTCCAGTTTTCAAGGGAAATAGTTTCACTTTTTGTCTGTTTAGGAGTATGCTGACTATGGGTTTCTTGTAGATGGCTTTTACTATTTTGAAGTATGTTTCATGTATGCCTAGATGTTCGAGGGTTTTTAGTCAAGAAGGAGTGTTGTATTTTATCAAAAGCTTCTTCTGCATCTAATGATATAATCATGTGGTTTTTGTTTTGACATCTACTGATGTATTTAATTATATTTATGGTTTTGCAACTGTTGAACCAGTCTTGCATCCCAGGGATGAAGCCTACTTGGTCATGATGGATGATTTTTGAGATGTGTTGTTGGATCCTGTTTGCTAGGATCTTGTGGAGAATTTTAGCATCTATGTTCATCAAAGATATTGGCCTGTAGTTCTGTTTCTTTGTTGGGTCTTTACCTGGCTTGGGTATCAATGTGATGTTAGCTTCATAAAATGATTTGGGGAGAGTTCCATCTTTCTCAATTGCCTGGAATACTTTCAGTAGGATTGGTATCAGCTCCTTCTTAAATGTCTGATATAATTCTGCTGGAAAGCCATCTGCTCCAGGGCTTTTTTGTTAGGTAGTTTTCTTATTACATAGTCAATTTCCTTGATTGTTATTGGTCTACTTAGGGTCTTGATTTCTTCTTGTTTCAAGTTGTGTGATGTCAGAAAGTCCTCCATTTCCTTGAGGTTTTCAAGTTTGTTTCCATACAAGTGTACATAGTAGTCTCTAATGATCTTTTGTATTTCTTCAGGGTCAGATGTGACTTCATCTTTTGTGCATCTTATTGTGTTTGTTTGGGCTTTTTCTCTCATTTCTTGGACAGTCTAGCTAGGGGACCATTGATCTTGTTTATTCTTTCAAGGAACCAGCTTTTTGTTTCATTGATTTTTTAAAATCTTTTTTTCTTCTGTTTCCTGGATTTGGTCTTTTATTTTGGTGATCTGGATTCTTCTGCTGAAGTTAGGGTTTTGGTGGTCTTGCTTTTCCATATTCCTTAGGTGACTTGTTAGGCTTTTGATTTGTGATCCTTCCATTTTCTTCATTTGCGTTTGTAGAGATATGAATTCCCCTCTTGCTAGTGCTTTCATGGCATCCCAGAGATTTTGGTAAGATGTTTCTTCATATTTTTTTTGTTTCCAGGTATCTTTTAATCTCTGTTTTGATTTCATCATTGACCCAGGAGTTGTTTAGCATCATGCTATTTAGTGTCCATGTCCTTGTGGTTTTGGGTGGAATCTTGTTGATGTTTATTTTTATTTCACTGTGGTCTGAGAAGGTGTATGGCAAGATTTCGATTTTTTGAAATTTGTTTATGCTTGATTTATGACCAAGTATGTCATCAATCTTAGAGTACATTCCATGCAGTGATGAGTAGAATGTATATTCTGTGGTCATTGGGTGGAGTGTTCTGTAGGTATCAATTAGTTCATTTGGTCAGGAGTCACTTTGAGGTTCCAGATCTTGTTGCTGATTTTTTGTCCTCAGGATCTGTCTAGGGTTGTGAGTGGGGTATTGAAGTCCTCAGCTATGATAGAGTTGGAGTCAGTATCTTTTTTGTTTACCTAGAAGCTGCTTTATGAAAGTTGGCGCTCCTATGTTGGGTGCGTATATGCTTAGGATGGATATTTCTTGATGGATTGAACCTTTTATCAATATGCAGTGGCCTTCTGTATCTTTTTTAACTTTTCATAGCTTAAAGGGTATTTTGTCTGAGATTAAGATTGTGACTTCTCCTTTCTTTTTTCTTCTGTTCTCCTGAAAATTTGTTTTCCATCCTCTTACTTTGAGTCTGTGAGCGTCCGTTCTAGTGAGGTGAGTCTCTTGAAGGCAATAAATTCTTGCCTGGTGATATTTTATCCATTTTGCCTTTCTATGTCTTTTCAGTGATGCATTTAGTCCATTCGCATTCAGGCTAATTATTAAAATGTGAGCGTTGATCCCTATCATAAGGTTCTTACAGAGTTTTGTTGTTGTTCCTGTTTGTTGTCTTTCTTTTGTTTTTAGGGTTGGCTCCTGTGTGTTTCCCATCTTTTCCCTGTACTCTTGTGAAGAACATGGTCATTCTTTTCTCCTTTTCTTCTGTGTTTAATATTTTCTTAAGTATTTCTTGTAGAGGTAGTCTGGAGGCTGCATAGGATCTTAGGGATTGGATATCTGAGAAGATTTTGATTCTCCCTCACTGAGGAAGCTTAGCTTGTCTGGGTAGGTTATTCTTGGTTGAGATTGTTTATCTTTGAGAACTTTGAAGATTGGGCTCCAAGCTTTCCTGGCCTGAAGGCTTTCTGTAGATAAATCTGCTGCTATTCTAAATGGTCCTCCCTCGTAGGTATTCTGACCTTTTTCTCTTGCTGCCTTTAGGATTTTTTCTTTTATACCTACTTTGTTTTGGCAAATGATTATGTGTCTGGGAGTTGGTCTTCTCATTTGTTGTCTTGCAGGGGTTCTCTGAATCTCTTGTGTTTCAATTTTTGTATCACTGATGAGTTGAGGGAAGTTTTCTTGAATGATTTCATGAAATGTTTGTTTAGTGTGGCCTCTGTCTCTCTCTCTCTCTCTCTCTCTCTCTCTCTCTCTCTCTCTCTGCCTCAGGAAGGCCAATTACTCTTAGGTTCAGTCTCTTGAAGTAATCGTTCATCTCTTGAAGGTTGTGTTCTGTCTTTTAAAGCTTCTTTTCTATGTTTCTGAGAGTTTGGGTTAGTTTGTATTTTGGTCTTCAAGCTCTGAGATTCTTTCTTCTCCTTGGCTAATTCTGCTTTCCATGTTTATTAGTTTGTTATTTATTTCCATCACAGTATTCTTTACTGGTATTTGTTTCTGTTATCAGCTCCTTCCTATTTTCCTCTTGTCTCCCCTCAATTTTTAAAATTTTCTCTATTAATGTCTTGATGTCTGGGTTTATTGCATGTGACCAGTCATTCTGGGGCCCCTTCATTGTGTTCCGAAGTCTGTTTTCTCAGTTTCTGACCTCCCAGGGTCTGTGTGAGACCTATAGTCTTCTCTTGGTTTTTCTTCATTTGTGCAGATTTTTCCTCCCTACTTTTCCCTACCCTCCACTTCCCCATCTTCTTTAATTCAGTTGTTCAGGGGTGGAGGAGTTGCTTTCACTTCTGTTTGTTCAATCTCCTATTCCTTATGTATGTCCTCTTGCTTTGTTCAATTCTGGAGTTGGACTGTAAATTGGGGGTGGTCCTTTTTTCAGTTTTGAAATTTAATTAAGGGGGGAGCTGCGATTCAAATTCTATCTGCAGATCCTGGTATCCACTGACAGGTGTATGAATAATCTGAAACCCACTTCCCACTGCCTTGGAATTTGTCCATGCAGTGAGGTTGTAGGTTTACTCCCTGAAAGCAAAATGAGGTTAACAGAGGGAAGAGAATGGAGCAGGCAGTGGGGGAAGAGAGAGGAGTAAGAGGGAAAACAGACAAGCGTACTGACTATCAAATGAAAAAAGACACAAAGACTGAAACACGTAAAAAGTAAAACAATAACCATGACTACAAACTAACAATCATACGAAAAAAGTAAAATATATCATGATACTAACATACAAGCTAACCAACCTCCTTATTGGTGTGTTATTCCTCTATACAAAGATGGGTTTTACAGAGAAACAAAACAAAACAAACAAACAAACAAAACCACAAAAGAACAAAACAAAACAAAACAAAAGGAATAGAATAAAGTCAGTAAACTAACAGAACCAACCAACCACACTCTGAGACTTTTCCTTTAAGTCCAATGTCCTTTCAGCTCTGATTTCTAGATTTCTTTGCTGGTTGGTCGATTTGTTCACTGTAAGATCAACTGCCCATGGCCTGCTGTGGAGAGTGTTTCAGATCTGGACTCCCTGCCCACTCTATCACTCAAATTTCCTGTTTCTATTCATCAAGGGGGAAGAGCTTCTTTCTTTCCCATTTTGATGTTGTTACCTTGGATCCCCAGGAGGTGGTGCTATCTCACCACTCTAGTTCATCTTTATTCACAGCAGCTGGAGACTGGCAAGTGATGCAGGCCAGGATGGTGGAAGTTGGAGGCCACCCAGGATGGGAGGGAGCAGGCAATGGTAGTGGCAGTGTAGGCAGCTCCCTTGCGGTACATTGAAGGAGCTCCACGATCTTGGCTCCAGGCGAGGGGCGGGGCATGGCAGTGCCAGTGGCAGTGGCAGCAATCTCAGTAGATAGTGCTTGTAGGGGCTTCATGGTCTGAATTCCTGGGATGACCCAGGTGTGGGCTGGGTGATGGCTGCAGCTGCAGCCCAGACTACTGAGGTGTTTGAGCTGTGGCTGCAGCTGAGCTCTGTGTGAAGAGCAGGCTGCTGACTATGGGAGCTGCAGCCCCTGGGAGAGAGTTACAGTTTTTAATGTGTGTTCTCTCTCATGGAGGGTCTCACAGACCAAGCTGCCCCGTTGCCATCTTGCCGGAAGTCAAACTTTTATATTTCTTTGGAGTCAGTTGTGCCTTGATCTTTTGCATTTCTGATTTGTTTATTCATCTTTTACTCTTTTTCTTAGTCAGTCTAGCTAGGGGTCTATCAATGTTGCTTAACCTTTCCAAGAATCAACTTTTTACTTTGTTGATTTTTTGTATTACATTTTTGTCTTCTATGTCCCAAATGTGTCCTTTCATTTTGGTGATCGAGATTCTTCTGCTGAAGTTAGGATTTTGGTGGTTTTGTTTTTCCACCTTCCTTAGGTGATTTGTTAGGTTGTTTACTTGCGATCTTTCCATTTTCTTCATGTGTATTCATAGAGATATGAGACCCATATTATTCCTTTGGCTTTTATTTATTTGTGTTAAGTTTTCCTCCCCTTCTTTTTTTTTTTTACCTCTTCTTTAATTCTTTTGTTCTGTGATGGGGTATAGCTTTTGCTTCTGTTTGCTCAACCTCCTATTCTTCCATATGTAAATCCCCTGGAAAAGCCATTTGGTCCATGGCTTTTTTTTGTGGGTAGTTTTCTTATGACATAGTTGATTTCCCCAATTGTTACTGGTCTATTTAGTGTCACAATTTCTTCTTGTTTCAACCTGGGGAGATTGTGTGATGTCAGAAATCTCAATTTTGATGCTGGACTGGGGGTGGGGGCTTGTGTTTTTTTCAGTTTTGAGATTTGATTAAGGGGGGAGCTGTGATTCAGCTGTCTGCATATCCCAGTATCCAGTGACAGATGTATGGACCTCCTGGAACCCACTTCCAACTGCCTTACAATCTGTCCATCCAGTGGGGAATTATGTTTGACCCCTGAAAGAAAAATGAGATAAGAAAAAGAAAAAGAATGAAAAAAGGAAGGAGGAATAATAAAAGAAGTGGAGAGGAGAAGGAGAATGAGGAGGAGGAGGAGGAGGAGGAGAAGGAGAAGACAGGCATACCAACTAATAAATAAACAGGGAAACAAAGACAGAAAAAAACAAAAATAAAGTAAAACATACAGCCAATCATGCAAACAAACTAAAACCCCTGTTGATGTACTTACTCTCAAAAATACCCATACACAAACAGATAATGTAAAAAAAACCAATTTAAAATAACAGAAACAAAACATGTACCAAAACGTAAACAAAAATAGAAAGAAGAACAAAAGCAAAACTAAAAATGAACAAACAAACAAAAACACTACCTCTGTGGCCATTTCTGTAACTCCAGGTCCCTTTTGGCTGCCACCACCACTTTTGGCTACTATCACTGCATTAAGGAGTGGTTCTCGTCTCCAGCCCATCCTCTTCACTCTCAGCACATGCTGACAGGGTTGCTCTCAGTGTGGGTCAGATGCCCCATGGACTACTGTGGGAGGGGGATGGATCCAATCTGGACTCACCCAACTTATCTGCTGCTGCTGTCAAGCCTCCCACTCTGATTTGACGTGTCTGTGCCTGTCCCAGCATGGGAGAGTGCTGTCTGCCTCTCTGAGTCTGATGAGGAGATAGTCTCTGGGTCCCAGGTTGGAGGTTGGACAGAGCTGAGTAGGACAATGCAGGTCTCTGTGCAGTCCTGGGACAGAGAAGATGGTGCTGGTAAGTGTCTCCTCACCACTGGCAGGACTCTGTTCCAGATTTCCATGCCCTGCCTTCTCCACGGTTCCTGCTGCTTATGCCTAGTCTGCTGCCACAAGTGATGACATGGGCCAGGTGCCAGGTGCCAGGTGCCAGGTGATGAGAAGAAGGTGTTCTCTGCTGCTGCTTCTCAAGAGAGCCCTGAGAATGGCAGACAATCCTGCATGTGGGGGATGCCAATCTCAGGGCAGTGATGGGTTGCAGTCACCTCTGGAAGAGAGCCCCAGGTACATGAATCCGAATCTCCCCTTAGACAGACTTTTACTCAGCCACCAGCACATACTCACTTACACAGAGAGTCTTTATGGACACTCTCTTTTGCAGAGACTCTCACACTCTGACCTGTTCCATCACCATCTTGCCTCTCCTCCCTCAAATAAGTTTTTCAAAACTGTTGCTTTCTTTTCTTCCTCAGACACCTATGATTCTTAGGTTTGGATGTTTTGGATGTTTTACATAATCCCATATTTCTTGGAGATTTGTTTCATTCTCTTGATTATTTTTTCTTTATTTTTGTCTGATTGGGTTAATTTGAAAGCCTTGCCTTCAAGTTCTAAAATCCCTTTTTACTTGGTGTAGTCTACTGGTAAAACTTTCCACTGTGTTTTGTACTTTCTTAAATAAGTCTTTCATTTCCAGAAGCTCGGCTTTTTAAAAGTATTTATCTCTTTGGATAATTTTTCATTCATATCCTGAAGTTTTGTTTTGTTGTAACATTTATTTATATTGCTTTTAAATTTTCTCTTGTATCTCATTGAGCAATTTAATTATTATCCTTTTGAGTTATTTATCTGAAAATTCTAAGATTTCATTTTGGTTGGAATTCATTGCTGAAGAGCTAGTGTAGTTTTTTGGGGGGAGTTAGAAAGTTGTTTTTTCATAGTATTAGGATTATTTTCTGGTTCCTTCTCATTTGGGTAGAAAATTTCTTTGTATTAGTGTTTGATTTGCCTTTTATTCAATTTTCAGCCCTTAGGCATATGACTTTAATGTGTATAGTTTATCCTCATTTAGCTTCAGCTCTGGTACTTCCAGTGATAACAGTTGTGCCTGAGTTCCTTGGTTATAGGGAATTTTTGTATATAGCTTTCTCAGATGTAGACTGTAGTAGCATTTGTTGTGTGTGTGTGTTGGATCACTGTCTCCTGTGGGATTAGGATGCCAGAGGGCTCAAGGAGGTTTTCTTATGAGAGGGGAGACAAAAAAATCCTGAAATTATTTTTTGGAAAGTGGGCCCTTTGTAGTATAGGCTTCCCCTGCTAGGCAAGTGTTCTAGGAACCCATCCGTGTCCATGTACCAGCTAGCATTGTAGTGAGAGGCTGCATTAGGCTTCAGTGAATTTTTTAAAAAATATTATTTTGTTGTGTTTACCCATTTCACGATGGATGACTTATGAATGTACCTGCCCACACTGGTTTTTTTAACCCCAAACAGTATAACTCCCATGCCTCACCCCTCCATTCACCTGATCTCACCTCAAGTGACTTTTTTTTGTTTATCCAGATGGAAAATTCCTCAAAAAGAAAAGTTTTGCTAATGTGAAAGAGGTGAAACAAAAAACAGCATAATCACTAAAAGGCATCAAAATTGACAAGTTCAAAAACTGTTTTGAGCAGTGAGAAAAGCATCTTGATAGTTGTATTGCATTAAACAAAGTCTCCTTTGAAGGTGACTGAAGTATAAACATGTATGGAGTGATGCGGTGGTAGCAGAATGGAACAAAAGCAGCACGTTCTCTAGCACCAGTTCAGGTTGCAGACACAGGGTGCAAGGTGAGGGGTGCCCTGCAGCCCCCAGTCACACCTCACAGGAAGGGCTGCAAGGAATGCTGCTGCATCCACCCAGGCTGGGCAGCCAAGTGCACCCTTCAGAAATCCATGTGGAGAAGATATTATCAGACACATTTTTACATAAAAAAGGAAGACAGTCAAGCATTTGATACTAATTGCACCACAATTTGAACACAGGAGGTCAGGAAGATGGCGGCGAAGGCAGTTGAATTATGCAAGTCCCAGTGTGAGTGATTGAGTGTATGGAAAATTTTGAATACATGCTGGTGAGTGAGTGGGCTTGTAAGTGGGCTTTGAGTGATTAACTGAGTGAGGGCTCGGGAGCTTGCAACTAGGGCTTTCCTGGTGCAGTGACTGGTGCTGCAGTAGCTCAGCTTGGACCCTAGCAATTCCCAGGATGCAGAAGTCAAGCACCATTTAAAAAAATTAACAAAACTCCTCCTGGGAAGAAAACGCTGGGAGAAACTGACTAAGTGGGGGCTCGTGAGCAAGTGGCCAGGGCCCTCCTGGAACAACAGCTGGTGCTGGAGCTTCTCTGCTTGGTCCCTGGTGCTTCCCAGGGCACAGAAGTTGAGCACCATTTTTTAAACAGACAAGTCTTTCAAAGAAGAAGCAGCAGGGAGAGATTACCGGACCCAGGTTATGCATCACCACTGCAGCAGGAGAGACTGCTCCAACCTTTGTCTCACCATTTCAGCGCCTGGCTAAGCACTGACAGCAGGGACTTCACAGGGAGCCCAGAGGAAGAGTCTCACCAGAGAGGACAAGAGAGGCACCCCACCATCATCTTGAAGGCAGGGCAAGGGGCTGCTCCAACTTGCTCATCACAGAGCAACAGACCTGATCACTGTGACTGGAAGATCAACTACTCAGGGTTTGATCATGACCCAGAGGAAATATCCTGGAAGCACAAACTTCAGAGGGACCCAAAGAGTGCTGAGTCCCGGGTGCCTCACTCTCTACCCTGATCCAGCTGTGGGACAAAGGGTGTAGCTAGAAAAGTATAAGGAAGGACTCCAGAGAGATCAGTGTTCACCATTCTCCAACTTATTTGACTCTCAAAACTGCAAGAGACAGAAAATCATCCCACCCACAGTCCTGTTTCAAAATAGAACAAATCCAGATCCCAGATCAAGGAAGAATAGAGGACTGAGCAGACATCAGAAGGGAAAACCACTCCCACTGACACTGAATAATGGAATTTTAAAGAGAGAAGCAATAGATCTGTCACAAATGAAGACAAACCAAAGGAAGACCACAGGTAATTTCAATGCAACAAAGAGAAATCTCCTGAAAAAATCAGACCTCAGAGTCTAAACAATGAAAGTAACCAATGACTGGCCTCAGAATATGACAGAGA